ATCTTCAATCCACCAGAAGGACTGATGCTTGCTTACATTGCTTGTCTCCCGACCAGAGTTATAAAAAACTTTCATATGGTAAGGCCAGAATCCGTGATTTAAAGAAAGTCTACTGGAAAAGTCAAAGTCAAAAAAAAGTCAACTTGAAAAGTCAAAAAACACGTCAAAAAAAGTCAACCATAGACCACAGCTCGAAAAAAAAAAAAATCAAAAAAAACGTCAAAAACAAGTCGAAAAAAAGTCAAAAAAAATCAAAACTGTGGCTCCTCGCCTTGGCGGATTACTGGAGTCAAGAAAAGTCAAAAAACAATGCAAAAAACATGTCAAAAAAAGTCAAAATAAAGTCAACCGTAGACCACAGCTCGAAAAAGTAAAAAAAAACTAAAAAACTCAAAAAAAATGGTTAAAAAAAGTCAAAAAAACAAGTGGAAAAAAAAAGGTTCAAAAAAAGTCGAAAAAGTGTCAAAAAAGGTCGGATCTGGGCAACTTGACTTTTTTTTGACTTTCTGAAATTTGCTGATTTGATTTTTTTTGACTTTGACTTTTGTTTCTTTAAATTTAGAAAACAGGCTCTTTCCAATGAAAGTTTTTTTTTAAATAAGACCAGAGCTTGCCCATGCTTGCCCTGTCCCTCTTACCCTGCCGCCTGCGGCCCGGTGGCCAGGTCACGAGGCGGACCAGGTGGGGCGGCAAACGCAGTTGGTCTGGGTTTCCGGCGGAGGGCGTGGCCTCCAATCAGATGGCATGCGATGGCCTCCGTTCGAGTCGCAATGCCCTTGGTTCCGTTCGTAGCTTCTTGCTCCGTTCGTAGTAAGGCCAGGAGCCCCATTCGTAGCGTCCTTGCTCCTAAGAGCGATGGCCTCCAACCTACACGCAGTTGGTCTGGGTCTATCATGGATTTGTCACGTTTGACCTGACTTGGCAGACACAGGGAGGTGGTGAAACCTCTTTCTTGATCTTCTAAGAAGTCTAGTAGTTGGAAACCACTTTCTAGCTCTGCCATTCTGTGCTTCTGTATGTAGGTTCCCACCAGTGACCTGCAACAACCTGCGCAGACAATCTCTACCATCCGACTGCTTTTATAATTTACAAAAACTACTGAAGTGGCTCTAGTGAATTGATCAGCTTCAAGTTTACACTCGTTTGATTTAACTCACAATGGAACCCGTACAAGACCATGCTCTAGAGAGGCATAAGATCACGAAGATAAGGTCTCCATTCCTTGTTTTTCTAGAATGCCTAATTAGCATGTTCTAGATTTTTTCTTACTTGGCCACAACCATTTGCTAGACTAGACCAAAGTGAATGCCCTGTTCTTTCTATTTAGAGAATGGTTCATCCAGGTTCGAAAATGTGAACCCGGATCACCTTTTCTCCCGTCCCTTCGCGTTTGTCCTTAGCCGTCCAAGAACTGCAGGCGCACAAGAACTTCCATTGTTCGTTGTTGTCGGTTCCGTCAGTTCCTCAGGCCCTCGCCCAAGTCCCAGCCGATCGTGAAGGTGGTCGTAGGGCACCCCAAGAGCTCGCGGCGTTGAGCGAAAGGAGGGAACAAACAACAGGCGTACTGGTATGTGGATGATGGTGACCAGGGCCGCAGTTCATCATCCTCGCTATTAGGTTGGAGGCCATCGCTAGTAGGTTGGAGGCTTTCATGATGTTTCATGTGCTTTTTCACCAGAAAGTTCCTTGGTGGGGCACCTTTTGTTGTTTCTTTCATGGTGGGTTGAATCACCTGCACACATGCAGGGCGCCTGTGTCCCCAGAGCCTTCACTGACATGAATAAGCTTTAGTGTGTAGGAGGGCGTAGGGGTTGTAATACAAATGGAAGGGCGAACTCTGATAGACCATAGCGGCTATCGACTATACAACTGTGATCTTTTTGAAGCATTGGAAGGGCCGAAATCCATTTTGATCAGTCAGTGGTATGATTCTAAATAGTTCTCATGCGTGAAGCCCATCCCAATATCAAAAACATATGTCTTCTGCGCAGGTGAAGAGGTTGGAAGACTTTGTTCCGCGGCCAAGACCCAAAGCTGCAGAGGCCAGGTCTGGTAAGGACCTTCTTCGTTGTTTCCGCTGTCGGTTGAGTCGTCGACTGGTTGGATCAATCCAAGAGGAATCTCGGTGCTCGAGCCAAGCCTGGTGTCGGACACCGCTGAATCCGCTACATGTTCCGTGAGAGCTACACCTGTTCCGTGAGGTGTGGCCCAAACACAAAGCGTGTGCCAAGATGTTTGGGAACCCAAGGGATCACAGGAGAGGAGCGTGTGACTTGAGGAGCTTGGCTTGCAGAGCTTGGCTTTGGGCACTTGATGTGGGTCATTATGAATTATTTGAAAGAAAATCACAACCTAGTGTGAACATGGTTCTGTTTAAACTGTCTGTTTTGCGATCCAAACCAAAGTACTTGTAGCTTTGGATGACGGGAGGATGAGCGTTTCAAGTGGAGGCTGCTGCGGTGTACTCTGGCCCCCTTGAATTCAATGAGTCATGAGGGAGTAAGCCCTTGGCAATATGTGCTATCCACTCACCCTGTTTAGCAACATACTTAATTTTAGATGCTCTTTAGACAAGGCAAGATAGACATCGCTGTTCCCTGTCAATTGGTAAAGGCTGAGCTCTCATTGCTGATCGGAATGAGAGCCAACAATGGCTTGACTCCCTCAAATAGCTGCAGCGCAATACAAATTGGTCTCCAGTGCTCTTCATCAACCATCACAAGCATCGACCATGTATAGGCTCAAATTATAGGTCAGAGAGTGCAGTATAGTCAAAAGATCAAGATGAAGTAAAAGTTACCCGGGTGCCTTTGCTGAGGCAGGTTCGCTCGGGCTTTCGCTGCAGGGGCTGCTTCAGGAGAGAGCCGTCAGAAGTGCCAATGGGTGAGCCGGCAGCTCGGGGGCGTAGGATATCCTCCGGGTCAGAATGAAATTGAACGCAAAAGGCATCTCCCGGCCGACATGCTGAGCCGAGACCAGGACCGCCCAACAATGTCACTGTGGAAGTGATTAGGCGAGCGGATTTGGAGGTGTTGGGACTGGTTGGGTTCGGTGTGTTTTGGTCACCCAAATGTTTGCTTGGCCGATGTGATGTTTCAACAGCCAAAGACCTGAGGAAACATCAAAGCGAAGGCAGCGAACATGGGCGAACATTCCACAACCTCAACAGACCCATGTGGAACCCCCATGCAGCGACCTATCCTTGTTCCTTCCTCCTTCTCGCTACTAGGTGGAGGCCATCGCTAGGCCATCGCTACCAGGAACAAGGACGCTACTAGTTATGTTCTTTGTTCCTTCCTCCTCGGTCCGCGACAGGCGCTGAGCGACGCGGGTGAACGAGCCGATGGACTCCGCGAAGCGGCCGAAAACACTGGGGGCGAGGAGTTCGGCGAGTTCGGCGAGTGGGCACAATGAGTTCAGCGTGTCGACCAGGATTCGATTGGTGGCAATTCGATGCAATTCCTTTTGGGTCAAGATGAGGAAAATACTATAAACTACTATATATAGCTAGCTTAGCTAGTTCATAAGTTCGTTCTTCACACACCGTGTTCTTCTTGGCGATTGCGGTGAGAGTATTGTGAGCGGTGTTCTTCTGGGTGAACTCGGTATGAAAACCGTCTCAAGGAACGGAAGCCATGCTGCACAGTCAAAGACCCTGATGGAGAGCTGGATTTCGTGGCTTTTTGGTACGGGAATATGCGAGAATGATGGGTTCCATGCATGGAGAATGATGGGTTCCATGCATGGATGTGATGGTGTTTCTGGAATCAGAATGAGTCTCGCTTTGACAGGTTGACCCATTTTGCTGAGCCTGATCTAACAGAGCCACAGGTACAACATTGTCGTGCCGAACCGCATCCTTTGGATCCTTACCAATGTGAGGCCTTTGAATTTGCGTGGAAGAATTCTGGAGGCAAGACTCCCCTTATCAACGAACAGCGAAACAGCAACGAACAGCGGCTGTCCGAAAGGACTTGCAGGTGCGGCAAGTCAAAGAAAACCCCGAAACAGAATTGCCACCATGGTAGGAGAAATCCCGTTGGTGAACATGTTTTGGTAGAACGTTCAGAGGAGGTCTCCTTCCTATAGCTCACAAGAGTAGGGGATTGGTTCAGCAGGTGAAAATATACTAATGACTTTGGCCCAAATTTGTTGAAGTGGACATGAGCTCAGGATTAGGCAGCCAATCATGGTGGTTCCTTGTGGTCAAAACATCCCCAAATAGACTTGCAATATCTTGCAAGACTGTGAGATCTTGGAACGATTTTCAATAATCTATGACATCATGTGACATTATATGACACATCCATGACACCGTTCCTTGGTCTAGCTCTTTTGGTCGATTTGATCCTCTGAAGCTCCGGAGCTGCGGCACTCTGAGCCGCGACACAGGGCACCGCCTACGTGACCTTCCGAGACCGGCCGACCGCGTTGAAGGCGCGAGCGACCGGTGCCACCGAAGACGTCAGACGGAGGGCCCGGTTGATCCGTTCGGACTCCCAGCTGAGTGAAACATGGAGTGAAACACCATATATGCTCTTCAACATGTGTTCACTCCATGAAACCACCAGAGCTATGGTGTTTCCAGAGTAGCTACAGGCCAGTCTTTTGTGTCACCCAAAGAGCCCGGACGAGGCGAAGTGAGAGCGAAGATCCAGGTTGTTCGCTTTGTTTCAATGAATTGGTTTCAGGATGTTATATAAAGGGCACATCTGCAGGACACCTGCGTGTTCACCCCCAAAACTATGGCGTTCCTGTAGGTGTTGTTTTACCGAAGAGCTGCTCTGGACCATGGGTAGTGGTGGTGAATACAGGTTTTTGCTGGCACTCCAGCTACAAACCCCGACAAATCACTGGTGGCGATCCAATTCAAGCAATGCGCTTTAGTATCGTTTCATCTAATTCAGATCCAGAATTCATCCTGATATATAAGTCATGGTTGTTCTTTTTTGCTTTTTTAACCAGAACAGAACACGGCTGTTTTTTCATAACGGCGATGTATGCTTCTCTGCCAGGCCTTGAAGGCACCGTTGAAGTTCCCTGCCTCCTTGCATGACAAGGTTTCGCCATTTCGCGGATGGGAGGGAGGCCGTTTCGGAGGCCGCCAGGGAGCCTCGAAACGGGTCGTTTCGGAGGACGGGAACCAGAAGAGAGAGAGAGATGCTGGTATCGTGAGATCTTTGGGGTCATGTTACAAAGCAGGTATTCGGTCGATGGTTGGAGGCACCAGATCGAACAAGAGGCTGCTGAATTGTTTTGACTTTGATGGGCTCAAAAGCATCACCAGGCAGACGGTCAACATGAGGGCGATTCAGTTCGGGAAAGCTGTTCGGAGAAAATGGCCGAGTTAAATTGCGCCACTGAATTCCATCCGGACACTGGCGATGGAGGGATTGAGGCTTATTTGATGGATGGCCGGCTGGCCCCAATTGTCATCGCCTTTGTGAGTTTGCTCATTCACGGCCTGTTTCGATGGTGCCTGATCAAAAGGATCGGTAGAGAACTCTTTGAGAATGCCTACTTGGATCCCAATGCCAGCCTCAAAGACACCGTGTGCAAGGCTTATGAGAACATTGGTATCACATCGTCCTTGGTGATGACTACGGTTGCAGGTTTGCTGGTAGAGGCTCACGAAATCACCCCTCAGTACTTTTGCGTTGATCCCTGGAGGCTCATGCACGCGAGACAGACGTATGTTGTCCTTTGCACTTTGTGCCTTATTGCCAGCATTCTTTGCGTGATTTTTTGCCTGCTGAATTTCAATTTCCTGAATTCCATTCCAGAAGATGTGGCAGGGGAATTGGTTGAGGAAACCTACGCCCATATAGGTGAGACAATGCTGCTGGTTGTAGAGTCCTACCTGCTTTTCTCAGCAGCTATCGCGGTTTGGATGGCTTTTACTTATGGCCTTGTTCACTTCATCATCACAGCCATCATTCTTCTTTGGAACGGGGCCCGGGCCTTGAACATGTGGTGGGAACTCATGAGGTACGATGCAAAAATCAGTGATGATGACGGTGCTGACGATGATAGTGTACAAGAGGAAGGCACCAGCGCCGCTGAGATGGTCATACCTGTGAATGTTGCTGGCCAAGTAAAGAGGCGCAGCTCCCTTTGTTCGGATGACTCTGCAGACTCCAACTGCAAGATGTGCCGCTTGCTTCAAGACTTCTTAGCTCAGCACGCTCAGTACCAGCGAGCAGCTGGAAATGTGGGATCGAAAGCAACTCCATCTTCCGATGGTCCAAAGAAGTGCAGCAAAAGGAAGTCTTCACGCTTGACATTGACCAAGCCAGGGAGAAGCACCGTGTTCCCAAAGGGAGCCTCAACATCATCGATGTGAGCCGGCTTTATTTTGGGCTCCCTTATCATTGCTTTCACCAGATGGGCCACATCTAAAGGTGATGTGGTGCCCCAGGTCTTTCACTGCAAAACACTTGGGAAAAGGTCAGCTGCTCAAATTTTGGATGTGCTGATTGTCCTGATGCTAGCCAACTTTGTGTTATCCTGGGTTTATATAAATCCTGTCAACCAGCCGTTACCCCAGATTTGCAGGAAGAGAGGTCAGTGTGTTCAAAAGGAGGGGGATTCGAGTTGACCCCAGGATCAAAGGCCTTGACCTGCTGGAACGGGTGTGCGGCTGGCCGGTTGCAGGTCATCAGCATGAAGCATTTAGACACTGATGAGCGCTCAGAGTTGTGGGGCTGGGCCAGTCACAGTTGGTGACGAGGATAGGTGGGGTGAGAGTCACGGCATGGTTGCATGAACTGGATTCTCAAGTCACCAAAAATCATGCAAAAATGATTTGAGCCAAGCCGGACCAAGCATGGTCCTCCCAAGACTCCGTCGATCCAAAAGAAGAGCTGCTTCCTAAACAAGCAGTGTTGACTGGTGGCTGCCAGCTCCCTTGGGATGTGGTAGGCCATGAGATGTGTGGCCAATGTGTGGCCTCTGAGGACAAGACCAATGACCCCAACTACTTGGAAAAGGCTGGAGATCAGTGCGGTGCGTGGGGCGAATTTCAACGTGTTCTTCTTCCAGGTTCCAACAACCTATCAAAGGGGACCAAGTCAACGCCGCTTTCCTTGGTCCACGTTTTCTAATTATGACTTGCAATGCCAAATGCTGCATTGAAACTAGCAAAGTGAGCTCAAGAACGGCTAGCGGCGTGCTACCCCGGTGTTTGGGGGGGATCAGAGAACATCAGAAGATGTGGCTTCATGGCTGCGATATGCTGCGATGTTTGGTCGCTTAAATATGCTTATTTGGGGTCCTGAGTCCTGTTCACTTCAGTCAACTTGATTCCTGCTTGTGAGTCTACCTGGACCCGGACGTTGTTTGAGGTTGGATTTTGGGGGGCCTTTGGGACTGGTGGGAAGTGGCCGGGACCCAGCGAGACAGAGCTACGATAGACCCACCCCTTAGACACCCCCGCCCCGTACGTCACGTTCCATTATACATGTTCAGCTGTCGCAGGGGCTGTAGCTACGATCAAGCTACGAAGTGGGGATTACCACCAATTCGTTCCCTGAATATTCCAAGATCCATGTCATTCCTGCAAACAACAACAGTTACAAAGGTTGCCAGGCACCATCACGCACCTTCGCCCGCAAGCCTGCTCTCCAGTATAATGGATTGTCCACCAGGTTTTTCCCGTAGCTTCTCAATTTCTTTGCCATTGTCACTCAAGAGAAATGGTCTTCGCCCTCGGACCAGGCCAAGTTTTGGGACAAGCAGTTGATCTCCATTGCACGGCAGCTCCACATCCAGGTCCGGTGCGCTGTGTTCCTCAACGGGACGAGGGAACTGCAGGAGACCCACTGGATTTTGCAACCTTTGGAAGACGTAAGAAGACGTAGACTGCTCCATGATTCTCCTCTTGAGCTAGCGTCCTCAGGGCATCTCAGGACCAGTACAGTATTAACTAAACTGCATGCAACAGCGTGGATTCGGTGTCTCCCAAATTATCCCAACCTTTGGTTTCTCGTTTGGTTTCTCGGTTGCACACTCGCTCGCTGTTCCGCAACCCCACTCTTAGGATGATGCATATGTGATACATTTGCCTTCACAGTTTCGAGCGGACTCCCACAATCCATGAACCAAGGACGGAGCTGAAGGTTGCTCCAAGCCTTTCTTCTCGCACTGTGTATTTTTTTTCTGAAGCCTTTCCCTGTCCAACGCTGGATTTGCATCAAGACATGGAAACAATTGCCAATGGTGGGCCATGCTGGGCCATGCCTCGCCGGGACGGCGGGTTTTTCCGCCGTTTCCATACGACGGTGGGTTTTTCCGATGGTGAACGCACCCTTTCTATGACTTGTGTTGGCCATGAGTCGTAGAAGTTTTCGCAGCCTTCCCAGTCCAATGCTGGACAAGTGAATGAATGTGTTTCTCGTTTCAGTTCTTATGAATGGTTCGCATGAATGATTGATTTGCATGTGTCACGTGTTCTTTTCAAAATCTTTCTCAGAATCTCATCCCCCTTGTCCTGTGGCCCACCCCCCCTACGTCACACGCGAAAAGCGTGGATGTTTGCCAGCTCCTCACCCTACCAGAGATGCAAGGCTGGGTGACGACGGTGACGGTGTGTTGAAAGCAGCTCTTTTTCAACACTTGAAGGGAGGACTAGATGATACTCGCACCGTCAGTGAAGCTCTTGAAGATCAAACCCATGTTTGTCCAATGCAAAAGGAGAGAATCTTCTTGGCCCAAAGACTTGCTTCATGACATGGTTTTATGTTGATATGTTTGGGGGGTTGCAAAACAAATTACAACCTTCAATGCTCCTTTAAGGTGGCTTCTGAGGGTTGGAAATGAACCCGTTCAGCTGCAGACATGTTGCTTCATAGTACACAAGTGTTCATATTTCTTCACTCTTAGTCTTGAGTTCCGTGCAAAAGAAATGCTCCATGGCATTTGTTCAGTTTCAGAGATATGCACGGCGTGCGGGACGTTTCGGATTGGGAAGTTCCGTGGAAATGTGGTTAACCAGGCACTGCAATGTTGCCCAAGAGGTTGGATTAAAGTTGGATGTATTGCTTTTATTTGTTGCGTTTCAATCTAGCCACCTTCATTCTACCACAAATTGTTTCGCTTGGTCTCTGCTGTGGAACTCCTTGTTAATGAAGAGAGTTGTGAGTTGTTATATTTGGCATGCGTTGCCTTGTGCTTTGTGGGAGACAACCTCGGAACTTGCACTGAAGGGCGACTGCTGTGCTGCCTCGATGTAATGTGACAACCACTACTATCCAACCAAACAAAGATCCACCACGCCCGCCTCCTGAGAAAACATTACGATCACCCAAAAATACTCGTGAGCGCTTTGCAAAAACACCTACACATGTGTGCGCAGGACACTGGGCTAAGAGATTGATTGATTGATAGAGGGTGAGGGTGGAGAGTGAGGGTAGGGTGGGGAAACTCAACCCAAACACTCCATTGAGTGACGCCTGCTTCGACGCTCGACCGGTGGGCGACAGGTGGGAAGCCCATCTTGCAGGTGGACCGCGACTTGTGGGAGCATGAGGCAATTTGGAGGGGCTCGACTAGACGAGTGGCATGAGTATTTGGGATGGTGGGTGTAGGGTTAACATGAGACAGGTATGAGCATGAGACGGTTCAGATCCAGAACTCAGGGCTTGGAGCTGATCGTGGAGCCGAACTTGGTTGATGTTTTTCATGTCGTTCAGTCCAAGAGTTACCGGGGTTTGCCCCGCAGCTACACGGCTGCAGTTAGCTTTTCGAAGCCTTTTCGATTGCAGACTGTACTTTGGGACTCTCATGGGTTTCTGGGTCTTCGATGTCGTTGCCTTGTTGGACATTTCAGCATGGGGGCTTGTCCTGCAAGTATGTAATAGTTAGTAGTCTCAATGGAGTGGATGCAGTCAATTTGCTACCATTTGCCGTGGACTGTAATTATCTCATGGAAGCTAATTAGTGGGAGACCTTCCATCCAACGATCAAACCATGTCAAAACATATCAAAACCGCTTTGTTAAACAAATCAGCCAAAAGAAGTAAGCGCCAAAGAAGCGAAAACCTCCATAAGACCCAAATCCTGGAGACATCACCAGACATCACTCGGTCGCGAACTGCTGTGTTGCCTCGCCACCCTCCCTGCGCCACGCGACGCGCAGATGGTGGAGTTGCCCCCGGTGGAATTTGACGATCCTCACAGCGCAGAAGCCATGGCCTTGAAGGCTCCCTGGGGACGAGGCGTGGAGGTAACAGCCGTTAACATCCGTTTTCGCCATTGCGATTTGCCAAGACTGTTGTGGCAACGGATGAAACAGAAGACCGTTTTGAGAAAGAAAAGTTGTTGTTTGGCTCGGTCTGGGGCTGGCTTCATCAAACCCATCCAAATCATACAGACAGCCGTGACAGAGAAACACAAAAGGATACTGGGGTGCACGGGGACCAGGCTTGAGGCATGATTTCAAGATGTTGGCAGATAATTGATGAGATGTTTGGAAGTGGCACCACGCTACGCCACAGTTATTTTTCGTGCTTTTCTTGGCAAAACTCCCGGTTTGACAGGCGGCGTGCCTTTACCCAAGAAGCTCTACGGGATGCCAACCCGGGTTGTGCCAGCGCAGGCTGGACAGTTTGCTGGTGAAGCCACAACATAGAAACGAGCTGAACATCGATTTGGTTCGATTTCTTCAGGCCATTGACAGAGGTGACACGTCGTGTCAGTCGATGGTAGATCCATGTAGATCCTCCGTTTGCTACCATCAGCAACGACATTTGCGGCCACAGACATGCATTTGCTTTGCGTACATCAACTCGACGCAACAGACAAAGGGTCAGGGAGGTCAATGAACTGTTGAGAATCTTGGCAGACCAATCTTGACCCACCGTTCCCTTTGACATCCGACTGATCCATGCTTTCACCCGTTTTCGTTCTAACAAGAAGCTAGTAATTACAAGTGCATCGCTAGTAGTAACAAGTGCCTTACTGGTAGTAACAAGAAGCTAGTAGTAACAGGTGCCTTACTAGTAGTAACA